GGATTAGTAAGCTGAAGTGGCAGTGGGCCGGCTATATAGCTCGAAGAACCGACAACCGATGGGGAAGAAAGGTTCTTGAGTGGCAGCCTCGTACCGGTAGGCAAAGTGTAGGGCGACCCCTTACGAGATGGAGTGACGACCTGGTAAGACATGCAGGAAGTCGATGGATGCAGGTGGCTCAGGACCCTGATTTGTGGCATTCCTTGGGGGAGACCTATGTTCAGCAGTGGACTAGTTAAGGGCTGTAATGATGATGATGATACAGATAATAAGATAAAACTATTGTAATTGTTTGGAGATAATTAAAAATTAAAAATTTTGTACAGCCGACTTCAATATAAGTTATTAAGAATAACTCAAAAACGATTGGTCTGACCTTGATCAAATTCATATGGAACCACAGGAGAAGTACCAGCTTTCGAATAAAAAAAAGTATCATCGAAATCGGTTCACCCAGTAAAAAGTTATGAGGTAACACACATAAAAAAACATATAGTGGAATTGAGTACTTCCTTCTTGGAAGTCGGCAGAAAATTATTCTACTTGGGAGTGTTTTTTTCGCCCTTTTTTTTAAAAGGTCTGTACTTGTGTAACTTTATATCTACTATAGAGATTCTTATGGCAGTGGATGATTATTATTAAAATTTATCTTAAACTCCAATTTTTAAACAAAAATAAGTCTATTCTAATTAAAAACTATTTATATGTTACTAAAGTATGACCAAAGCGTGTTTGACATGCATATCAAACAACTTGCTCCGCTGCACGCTCTAACGCAGTGCTAATCATTTCAATTTCCTGCACTAAGAAGTGAGAAATGTACTCTTACTAATCTAAGAAACTCTAGATTTAGTATTCAAACATGTTATATTTAAAAATATATATGTATAGTAAGCGTCTAAACGTGGCCATGCTGAACGAATCAGAATTGCCCGAATGTTCAAATTTGGCAAGTTTTATGAGATATAAAAGCGTTTTGTATAGTATTATTTTCTAAAAGCTTTTTACTTTAGGTTTAGGATAAGTCACATGGTAGGTTTTGGATGAGTCTATTTCGTTTTTTTTATTTCGTTTGTTTTTGACATTTGATAGTACCATTTTCATCACGGCCGCTTATCTACTACATTCTGTTGCGGTACAGATATTGTGTTGATAAAGTACATTCCTTAGGTCCAAAAAGAGGGGCCGTGCTGAAAACGTTTGGCAGGCACGGCCAGTGGTGGCCGTGCGAGGCAAAAGAACATCGTCAATTGCCTTGCCTCGCTTTACGCGAGATGAAAAGGGGAGGCACTCGTATCTTTATTTATATATTCGTAACGTGACTCTCATAATATACATGTCAACTACAAACATGAAAATCAGTTTTGTTATTCGCAGTTTTGTCAAACGTTAGTACAGAATACATTTTTTCTTTCGTTACTGACACATTTTTGCGTTAAAATTTATTGATACGCTATATCTTTAGCTTCACATTCGTTCCTGCGAAATATTGATATCCGAGCTAAAAATGTCGATAGTACCATATCATTCAACGTCAAATGTTGCATTTCAGGTTAAAAAAGTAAGCTCAGAAAACTGTGTTTACCACATATATTCGTAGGTAAATATTCATATTTCTTAATTCGCTTGAAGCTATTTATAAAACAATATTCTCACAGAATAATTGTGGTAATATGGTGAAACTTCTGATAATATGACTGAACTACCTGAAGCGGACAATTGTTTTATTGTTAAACCTTAACTAATAAAATCTATTACAAAATAAACGATTACTTGCAAGATAAGGACGTTTATGTAAATGAAATTCTTTCTGCAATAGTGAGGGCTGACTCAATAATATAAATTGTAATACCAACATAATATATCATATAAAATAGCAATTCCATTCAGTTACTAAGCTGAAATGAATTATATTCAATTGTTAAACTTAAACTAAAAAGAAACAGAAAAAAACAATGACTACATTCCGTTCTTCTCCGTAGAGGTAATGATAAGTAGAGATCTCACTAATAGAACCGATGGATATTTCTTTTTTTGTCGTCTCTTCCTATATTAATTGTCTTGTGAGTACAAATAAGATAATAAAAATTATTTATTTATACTTAATAGTAGAATGTAATGTAATGTGAGGTGTTTTAACAGTGGTGTTTTAACAGTGTTTTAACAGTACTTAATAGTAGAATGTAATGTAATGTGAGGTGTTTTAACAGTGGTAGAGCCACGCGGCAGCTTTTGCTGTCGCACGGATGGGCCGGCTCGAACCGGGGTAGTACCACGACCTCACAGAAAACCAGCGTGAAGTAGAGGTTTACCTCTGCGTTTCGCTTGGTGAGTGTAGGTGGCCGGAGGCCCTTTTTACTGGAAATGAGGCATTCCATCTTAGTCCTCACGGGTGACAACGCATCTACATTTTGATTTGTAACAGAGGATAGATGTAGATGTCTATGGGCCGCAGCAGCCACTTACCATCAGGTGGACTGTGTGCTCGTTTGTCACCCTTATCCTATAAAAAAAAAGAGGTAAAAATAATGATTAGTCTTAAATTAATACATCTATTAGTTTTACATAAAAATTATGATTCCATGTCACATATTATATATAGTACGTGATAATCTAAACATGTAAATAAAATTAAAGCGTCTGTCAGGAATATCGATATAATTGCCTTTTATTAAACTGCATACGCTTATATATATTTAAATTAATGGCATTTCTAAAATTGTTGTCTGTTTGTCTGTCTATCCAGGTTAATCTTGGGAATAGCTAAACCGATTGTAATGAACTTCACGAACAGAAAGAGAGCAATAGCAGTAGTGATCTAGGCTATATTCTATCCGACTTGGAAATATTTATGTTAATTACTAGCTGTGCCCCGCGGTTTCACCCGCGTATATCAAGCGTCTGCGCCTAGCCATGCGAACTTCGAGAGAGACATCACGACGGACGGTTGCTGAATTAACAAAGATTTAAAAAGTGAAATATGTTACTAAAATTACATGGTTAACGTAATTGGTGGTTATGCATGATAAAGGTACTGATACAAATAATGTGGCCTATTTTGTACCGGTGTTACTATTTCACATTTTAAAATGAAAAAGTAGTTATTGTGACATAACTGTAATAGTTAAACATATGGTATCGCAGACTTTTTTTGTAGATATTGATATCCTCTATAAAACTGACGTACATTACTTTGCTCCATTATCAATAGTTTCCGCAGCGTACGCGATATAAGGATTCTTTTTGTTATTTTTTTCACACCTTGGGTTACATTAACGAAGTTTTCATACGGATCCCTAACTTTTTGAAAATATTATATAGCCTATGTTCATCCGGGATAATGTGGGATTCTAATGGTGAAAGAATTTTTCAAATCGGTCTAGTAGTTTCGGAGCCTATTCAATTCAAACAAACAAACAAACAAATCTTTCCTCTTTATAATAGTAATAATAGTAATAATAATAAAATAAATAGTCTGGCGTAGGGAAGTGACGACCCCATCGCCTGCTGACGTAATGGTTATGTGACAAAACTGCTACGTCAGCGCAGTCAGTTAGCATCTTGCCAAGAGGTGTGAGCGCCGTGCCTCGGCAGAATTGAGGGTGCTAATTTGGGCCCGCTTGTGCTTTCGGCCAAATCATGAAACGGTGCCGGGCCTGGGCGTCTCCCGTTAATTGACGCCCAATTCATGGATGATGGAAGGAAATAGACTGCGTTTAGGGCCGCTGCCTGGGGGTCGCCGGGGCGCGTCTGGAGCTGGCGCTGGACGCGACAGCATGCGGGCCGCGAGCCGAGTGCGAGGTGCTGCACGACCACCTAGCAGCCCCTCGCATCCATCATCCCCACCAGCTGGCTTGGTGTTGGCAGGGTCTTCACGGGCCCAGCAATCAGCACCCGCCACTGGTGGAGTACGCCGCATGCGTTGGTCAATGCAGATGAATAGCAACGCATTGCGGGCGTATTTTGGGGCGAAAGGGGGAGAAATTGGAGGTTTTGCGTATCGGGCTAGGATGCATCGACTTTTTGCTGAGCTGGAGCCATCTATAACCGTCACCGAGCAAAACCTGGCAGACCGAGTTCGGTATATCTTGCGCTCAAACATATTCAATAGCACCGAACTCGAACGGCTACGACGTGAGGCTGTGCCCTCATCGGATGACAACGGCTGAGGATGCGGCGCCACAAAATGCAGAGCAACCAGCACACGTGGATGCCGCCGTGAATCTTTCAGTTATGGTTGGTTCAGACGATGATGGAACAGTCGCCCAGGAACTAGAACTAGAGCAAATGAGGAGTACATTGGAAGAGGCTATTTTGGAAACGCGCAGTATGCCTCTCGAAAATCGACCGCGACACCCGCGCATGCCCTAAGCAAGCGGAATCGGGCTGTCGTGAGGGCTCTCAACCCAATGCTGGTAACCTATTTGGAAGCCAGCCGGGACCTTTGCGAGACGGACTCAATTCTTTTTGGCGCCGCACTGGCAGTTTGCCGCATTATTGGCGCCAAAGTTCCCACGGCTGGACGCGCTACTAGACAAAGTAGCGCCATCCCAGCCTGGAGAAGAAGGATTGAGGACCGTATCGCAAAGGCAAGGGCCCTTATCGGCAGACTGATAAGCTTCAGGTCAGGCAATAATAGGCCGAAAATTGTGCGCACCGTCAGGATGGCGTTTGCTGGGACCATCAGTTTGTCCCAGCCGGATATAACGCAAAAACTGACGGAGCGCATAGACGACCTGAAGCAGAGAATCGCTGCTTGGGGGAAGCGGATTCGGCGATATACCGAGAGGTCGACACGGTTCAACCAGAATCGTCTCTTCCAGAGTGATCAGAAGAGGCTCTATGAATCACTGGAGCGACCAATGGTACGTGGAACGGACCCAGCACCGAATCAGGCCGACACTATCGCATTCTGGTGCGGCCTGTGGTCAGAGCCCGTAAACCACAGCGAGGGCCCTTGGACGGAAGTTGTGGCGAGTCAGTGTGCGAATGTTACGCCCATGGATCCCGTCATCATAACGCCGGATGACGTAGCTGAGGCGGTCCGTAGGGCCCCGAATTGGAAAAGTCCGGGACTCGACGGACTGCATCACTACTGGCTGAAGGGGTTCATGGTGTGTCACGCTGTGCTCGCCCGACAGTTTCAAGAGGCTCTCGACCAAAAGTCGCTCCCGAGCCTCTTCACTACTGGGATCACTCATTTGGTTCCTAAGGACCGGGATTCCACAGACCCAAGCAAATACCGCCCCATAACGTGTCTACCTACCATATACAAGACACTAACATCCATTTTGAGCGCGAGAATCATTCGTCACCTGAACTCAAACCAGGTGATGTCGCGCGCTCAAAATGGATGTCGGGGCGGTGGTCGTGGAACCAAGGAACCACTCCTCATTGACGCGGTCATTGGCAAGGTGGTTAAACGCAACCGTCGGAACCTCTCCGCCGCCTGGATAGACTACAAAAAGGCATTCGACTCGGTGCCTCATACATGGCTTAAGAGGGTCCTCGAGCTGTACAAGGTTGACTGTACAGTTCGAGACTTCCTCGGGCAGTGTATGGGGCAATGGAGTACGATCCTTTGTCATCTAGGCGAGCGGATGGCGGCTGCGGAGAACCACATAAGGATAAGAAGGGGTATCTTCCAGGGCGATTGTTTGAGTCCAACCTGGTTCTGCCTCTCTCTGAACCCTCTCAGTACCTTACTGGAGGGCTCCGGGAGGGGATTTCAGCTTCGGAGAGGAGGTACAAAAGTGACCCACCTTTTCTATATGGATGATCTCAAATGATTCGCCTCCAGTCGCTCTCATCTTATGGAATTGCTAAACATCACTTGTGATTTTAGCAATTCTATTAGAATGGAGCTGGGGACGGATAAGTGTGCGATCCTCCACGTCGAAAGGGGAAGGGCTGCTAACTCTGAGGGCATAGACTTATCTATGCCCATCAGCATAAGGACCCTTTCCGAGGCTGAAACATACCGATACCTGGGTATGTCACAGAACATCGGTGTAGATGAGTCGGGTATGAAACGGTCAGTTTGCGATGTGTTTTATGCACGCTTGACCAAAGTACTTAATAGCCTTTTGCCCGGTGTGAATAAGACGCACGCATATAACGGTTGGATCATGCCTGTTCTCATGTATACCTTTGGCATACTCAGGTGGACTCAGACCGAACTGAACGCTCTGGACAGAAAAGTCCGCACTATAATGACGTCCCACAGGATGGATCATACGAGATCGTCAGTAATGAGGCTGTACTTGCCGCGAAAACATGGTGGGCGCGGCTTTTTAAGCGCGCTTATCATGCATAATCGCGAAGTGTGCAGCCTCCGTAATTACTTTCTGACGAGAGCGGATGATCCATACTATAGGGACATTATTTCTTGTGATAAAGGGCTAACCCCTCTATCCTTAGCCAACGAGCAATGGCAAGACCCGGCAGTACAGAGCATTTCCGACCGGGAGATCGTATGGAAGGAGAAGGAGCTCCACGGGAGGTTCTATAAGGCCCTTCATGAGCCTTTCGTAGACACAGTCGCCTCCCTCCACTGGCTACGTTTCAGTGACCTCTTTGGGGAAACTGAGGGTTTTGTCTGTGCAATACAGGATAAGGTTATTAAGACCAACAATTATCGGAGATACATCCTAAAGGATGGCACCGTCGACATCTGTCGAGCTTGTCGCCATCCCGGTGAGTCACTTAGGCATGTCATCTCCGGTTGTTCGGCGCTTTCTAACTCTGAGTATTTGCACAGACACAACCTAGTAGCCAGGATTCTACACCAGGAGCTCGCTCTGAAATACGGTCTCGTGGATCTAACTAACTGTTGTCATTGTAAGTAGCCTACAAGTAGTACCAATCAAACCGTAATAATATCAGAGGTAGGCTTGAATCAGTGTTACAAAGACGAATAGTTAACAAATCCAAATATGTATGCTCATACAAAGGCTTGGATAAGAATCCGAAATTCAATATACAAACGACCTGGTCATCTATCTGTGGACACCTACAACCAACATTAAACAAAGGCCACACTTTTACTGACAATCATACCCTTTTTATACAACAAGAATTACAAAGGAGCACATAGTCCACCTGATGGTTAGTGGCTGGTGGTGGCATATCAGTGTTTGTTGATTTGATTAAATGAATAATGTGATAATGTTTAAAATTTCATGATTTTAATAATATTGTAAGGCAGGCAGACTGCAGGCAGGTTGTGGTGATACTTGTATGTTAAATCTCTAAAACCTACAACTAGCAAAAAAATGACTTATTCTATTCTACTCTACTCTACTCTACTCTACCCTACCCTACTCTACTCTGCTCTACTCTACCCTACCCTACCCTACTCTACTATTCTCTACTCTATTCTATTCTATTCGTCAGCTTGTAGTATGCTCTTATGGAAGCTCACATCGAGATGTATCTTGTATATAACTCCTCCACCATATGGTAGTACTGCAGGCACACGCTCAACTATGGCCGGTTTCACTCGGTCACCGTAACGGGGGAGGAGGGAGGAGACCCGAAGCTTGTTGTCGTGCAAAACTTGCTTGACGTGCTAGAGCTCAGCGCCCAGGTGCTTACTGTCACAGATCCCTTGTGCTCTCTTAAACAAAGATGGTTCCACGGTAGTTAACTGTGAAGGATCCTGCTGAGATTCACAGTTTAAATATGGGTTAGTATGGATCATTTTTTATACACTATATGACTGATAGTGTTATTAGGATTTCGAATGACCAAAACATCTAGGAAAGCTAAAAAACTCTTTGTTTCTAAGTCCATAGTGGTGTCTCATACACTGTATAATATTTAAATAAAATAAACATACCCTTGCTTGTAACTACTTAGGGGAGGCAACTCAATTTCAAACATTTCATACATAGTAATTATTTTAACATGTTATTTATCAAATCATTTAAAAGGATTCATAAACATAATTATTTAATTTTATGAGTGCGCTAACTGAACACTCGACTCAGTTTAAGTATACTTACGTAAACTGAAGAAAGAATCTTGAAAGTGAATACTTAAAGTTTACCTAACCACTTTCTGAGTTGTTGAAGTTCTAAAGGTACTAAGTAACTGCAAACAAAGCAATATGGAGACAGTTAAATTAAAATATAAAATATTCTTTGCAATATAATTCCACTAAAACATCTAATATAAGGCAATCACTGATTGCCTCATGGTCTAATGGTTGTAAACGCCGTTGGTGATCAAGAGGTCCTTGGTTAGATTCCCGGGGCGGGCTAAAATTAGTTATTGAGTTTTTCTGTCAAGACACTCTCAGTAGAAGTCCGGAGTCAGAATGTTAGTGGTGTTTCACCCTTGTTCCTCGGAAAATTTGTAAACAACAAGCCGTTGGCCCTGCGCCTGATCTCTCTACGGTCGTGTCGGATAGCCGTCCCATCGGACTATGATGGATATTACGGTTGTACCATGGATGGGCCAGCTGGACCAAGGTATAATAGAGTTAATATCAGCGTAAATAACAGACGCTGCTGTGTTTTGTATATGGTGAAAGTAGAAAAATGGAGACTCTTTTATATCCGGCATTCGATCTTAGTCCTCAGAGGTGATAACGCATCTGCATTTTGAATCTTAATTGAGGATAAGTTTAGATATTTTTGGGCGACAGTATCAACTTAACATCAAGTGGACTTTGTGCTCATTTGTCAATCTTATTCTATAAAAAAAAGACTCTGAAAATTATGTGTAACGATGAAGAGTAAAACGTACGAACATGCTTACTTTTTAATGAACACCCTTAATATTTCAAAAGCCAAAGAAAGTTTTGCAGCCCCGCGGCCGCATAGACAGCGGTCTACCAAAATCATTAGAGCTATATGCCATTAGCAAAACGGAGCACTTTTTTAATCATATCTGTGTTCGCTTTTGTGTCTGTCCGTCATTCACGAAGTTTCAGGGACTGTTTCTCGTAGACGATTGCAATTTTGGCATACTTATAATATGCAATTACTTAGTTACAGACATGAGATTCAAAGTTCAAATTTTATACTCAAAAGGCTAGTTTTGGGGAATAAAATGGGAAGATAAAAATTCTGTCTTTTTAGATAATTACATTTCCGATGTAAGCTATGAAAAAGGGTATGTCCCAGAAATTGAACTCTTTCAAACAAAACATAATAAATTAAAACTTGTTTTAAGTTTCTTCTTTGTCAGTCCTTAAAAGTCCACTGCTGGACATGAGATTCTCTCGTTGTAGGAAGAATTTGCGTTAATCGTCACGCTTATCATACGGACCGACGATCGCAGCGCCAGACGTCTAACAACTGACGCTGTTCCGTTGTCGGCATGAGTATTTTACGTCTGACTAAATCTCCGCTGACTTTATTCACTTCACTGACTATACTTAATTATAACCTATAATTGCATCTATTATATAAAAATAATAGTATGAAGTGTTTTTATATCTTTTATACGTGTTAGAGTCACACTGCAGCTATATTAAGGTACTCGCATAAAGGGATCGGCTCGAGTTAGAAAGGAATGCTCTTATAGAACACCAGTGTGAAAACAATATTACTTACTGCTGTCAATCGGAAGCCATATGATTCTTGTACTATTTCCCATAATAGTCTTCTACGATATCCACGTGAATAAATGGAGGATATGAAAAGTTGATTATATGGATAGTATTTATTGGATAGATACTTACGCCGGCACCACACGTCTGTTTTAGTCTTTTTTTTTTATAGGATACGGGTGACAAACGAGCACACAGTCCACCTGATGGTAAGTGGTTGCTGTGGCCCATAGACATCTACATCTATCCTCTATTACAAATCAATATGTAGATGCGTTGTCACCCGTGACGACTAAGATGGAATGCCTCATTTCCAGTAAAGAGGGCCTCCGGCCACCTGCACTCACCAAGCGAAACGCAGAGGTAAACCTCTACTTCACGCTGGTTTTCTGTGAGGTCGTGGTACCACCCCGGTTCAAGCCGGCCCATCCGTGCGAAAAAAAAAAAAAGCAAAAGCTGCCGCGTGGCTCTACCACTGTTAAAACTCATTTCCTTTTTTTAGTCTCATTAGAACTAAAAAAAGGAAATGAGTATCCTACATATGTCATACGTTTGCTAGGTGATAGGGCTCTCTTTCTGCCTCCTTACGGGCTCCTGTCTGTATGGGTACAAGCTACCCTCATATTAATTAATAAAGACAACTTTTTTTTTTATAGGAGAGGGGGCAAATGAGCATGCGGCTCACCTGATGGTAAGTGACTACCGCCGCCCATGAACAACTGCAACACCAGGGAGGGAATTGCAGATGCGTTGCCGGCCTTTTAAAAAAGAGTACGCTCATTTCTTGAAGGTCCCTAAGTCGTATCGGTCCGGAAAAATCGCTGATGGTAATCGATTCCACAAGGAAGTCGTGCGAGGAAGAAAACATCTTCTAAATCGCACAGTGGTGGACCGCCAATCATCCAGATGGTGTGGAGGGTATCGTGAGTTCTGCCGCGATGTGCGTTCGTGAAATTTGGCGGCTGGGATTAATCCGAACAATTCCTCAGAGCACTCCCCATGGTAGATGCGAAAGAAAATGCAAAGGGATGTAACATCTCTTCGCAGTGCCAATGAATCGAGCCGATCGGAAAGGGCTCGGTCGTCGACGATTCGAGCCGCTCTGCGCTGGATGCGGTCAAGTGGAAGGAGCTGGCACTGGGGAGCCCCTGCCCAGAGATGGGAACAGTATTCCATGTGAGGCCGAACCTGCGCCTTGTAAAGTTGCAGGCGGTGTGCCGGCATGAAATA